GGCCTCCAACCTAAGAGGGATGGCCTCCGACCTACTAGCGATGGCCTCCAACCTACTAGCGATGGCCTCCGACCTACTAGCGATGGCCTCCAACCTACTAGCGATGGCCTCCAACCTAAGAGGGATGGCCGCCAACCTACTAGCGATGGCCTCGAACCTACTAGCGATGGCCTCCAGCCTTGGTGTATGCTTGGTGGTCATTCCTCAAACAGCGGGAGTGGAATCTTTGCTCAGTGTTGTTCTCCGCTTGTTCCCGTGCGAGCAGTAGGCGCGCTCTGTGTACGAGCAGAGGAACCTGGTCCCGCACGCGCAGTCGGGAGACCTTAGGGGTGACTCACGGAGACAGAAAGGCCATGAAAGGTCTAAAGAATAAAAGAACAGACAAATGAAAGAAAGGAGCACATATAGACCTTTCATGGCCTATTCTAGAAGATGGCCTTCTCCGGATTTGTGAATTCTGTCAGAATGTAAGAATAAACATATTCTTTTTCTTTCGCATATAGAATTCACAAATCTTCTCCTGACGACTTTTTGGCTTGTTGCTCCAGGGCATCAGGGCAGACCGTCGGACTGAAGCCATTTCCGGGTTTCGGATTTCCTTTGTGGGGCTCCCGTCAAACTCACGCATTCGAAGGTATCATGATCACGTTCTTGAAGGAATCAAGATAATCAAGTGAAAACTTGGCGAAGGGATCAAATTCAAGAGCAGGCCAACGTGATGTACGAAAAGACGATTGACGTGCAGGTCGAACGTTTGTCAAAGAAACATGGCAAAAGAAAAGAACCGTCAACGTTTTTTTTTTTTTAAGCTTTGGGAGGTCACTTTGGCCCGCAACCAGTTGTGGGCTCCCCAAATTTTCAAGAAACCCCTGAACAAACCAGCCGGTTGTCATGCTCCATACATTGCCTTGCACAGATGATCGCTCGGGGCCGGAAGCGGGGCCGGAAGCGCATCGCAAAGTGTGTACACAGATCCGACATGTTAAAGAGACACACACGTGAGGATGATCAGACTGGGAGAATCACGCAGCTCCTGAAACAAGCTCCTGAAGTACCTCGATTCCTTTTTGAGTGGACGGTGGGACTTGAGTGGTGGAGAAGATATCCCTTCGCAACTTTCAAGATGGAAACTCCCTGGTCCATCTTTTTCAAGGGAGTAGGAGGGACCAAGTTTCGGCTGGGCGAAATCCGCCAGAAACAGTGGGTGAAGGTGGTTCGAACCTGGTGAGCACAGGAAACCGCTGGAAGGACGGCAGACGGTTTCTCCATCAACCTCCTGACTCCTGACTAGTAGACACCAACCTAATTGCAATGGCCTCCTTAATGGCGATGGCCTCCACCCTACTAGCGATGGCCTCCAACCTCCTGACCTCTGATTGGAAGAATATATCCAGATGAGACACCGTGCCAAGACGTTTCTTTTGGAGAACATGCGGAGATTCTCATTTGTTGCCACTGCCTGTCTGCAGGCAAGGACTCCTTCAATCAAAAACTAGAACCAACTCTCATCGTGGAGAAAACACCCAGAGTTTCACTTTGGAACTCACCCACACATCCAGGAGCAGGCAGGATTTTGGCCACCAAGCTAGTAGGAACAAGTGCATCGCTAGTAGTAACAAGTGCCTTACTAGTAGTAACAAGTGCCACGCTTCTAGGAACAATAAGCTATTAGAAACAAGTGCATCGCTTCTAGCAACAAGTGTAGGTGCGCAAGAACGAGGTTTTGGATGGTTGTGCTGTTTCTCTTCTCTCAGGTTGGAGCTCATCGGATTGGTCGTGTGGAGTCTCAGGACTGAAGGGTCAAAACGTGGCCATCGCCA